ATATATATATATATAATTTTGTAAAGTTGAAGGTTGTTTCATTGTCCACAGTCCACATTGAAGAAAAGCAGGAAAGGATCCGTGCTAGGAGGCAAATGAGCAGCAGCGGATAAAGTACACACATGAGGAAGGGAGGATGGAGGGAATAACAGAGGTGTGCTAAAAGGAAGCCAAACCTGCACTTGTGGGTAAACAGCATAGTTAAAGAGAGAAAAGGGATCCTACATGGAGATACTATATCTAAAACATGGCAGCAGTGACAGGGAGGAAGCAGACTGACTGTACGGGTGAAAGGACATGTGCACAGAAGCCTGATTCAGAGTCGTGATTAAAACAGTGGAGGAACAAAGTAAAGTATTACTTCCTGTTTGACTATCAGTGTTCGGTTCATTAGATATAGACACCAGAGATTGATGGAGAAGTATTGAGTACCTGACTAGAGAGTGGAGACGGTTTATTAAACTGAACTGTTCTGTCTTCTACTGACTTTTGTTCTCCCCAGTTGCACTTTGTATACAAGTTTAATGACTGCCTACTAATGGACCACAAGTATTAGTGGGTGGGGTGGGGGCACTCGGATGAGTGTAGAAAAAACTTCAGTTTATTGTAGAAAAATGTTGTCATCTAAACACACACAGCAAAGTATTTAAGCCATGTTTTCCTAACCTTGACCCCACTGCTACAAGTGCTGAACCATAACCATTACAAAGCTGAATCCTGCTACGTGCTAAATATAATGAAGAGGAGAAACAGACGTGTGTTTAAAGAACAAATGGTGCATTTATTGTAAAAGGCTTGTGATTATGATGATAAATAAAAGGTTAGCCCCTGATTCTGTGATCAGACTTTACTGTTTACACTCTAAAAAGTATAGTTTGGCTTCAGGGGAAGAAGCTGATCCAAAATCAGTGGCGTTTATGTCGAGCATGAGAAAAACACAAACACACATATGGGCACAGTAAACTGGGGTTAGCGAGGAATAGTTGCTCAAGTAATATTGGTCAAAGCTTATGCAGATGGTGATCGATGAAGAAATGATGGGATTGTGGGGACAGGAGGGAGGGTTACACGTGGGCTTCAGAACACTCTGGACCATATCAGTGATCGATCTGTCAGCAGAGTATAGAAAAGGTTTTGGCTGTCCAAAGCTGCAGTCAAGCCACGAGGAAACAGAGGGAGGAGAAGGATGCATGAAAGGATGGATGAAAAGAAGAAGCAAAGTGAAGAAGCTGACCGTACACTCTCATGTGCCGGCTCTGTAACTTTCTCACATCATGCTCATATCTCTCTAACATCTCATCCTTCCTCTGCAGCGTCCCAAACACAAGTCTGTTGTCATGTTTCCCTCCCATCTTAACCATGTCCTTTTTCTTCTTCCTCCACCTGCCTTTTCGTCATCTTCCTTTTGCTTTCCAGCTTCCACCAGCTCGTCCTCCTTTGTTTCCATCCCTGCACCTCCTCCTCCTCTTCCTCTCTACATGGGGAACACCAGGAAGCCTGAGAAGGTGGAGTATTTCCATCCTCCCATTAGGTTTCCTCTCTCCAATTTGAGGTAGGCCCGGTCTCCCTTCTCCATCTGGATCAGAACACCATTGCTGGCTGCCTCACGCGTCACGTCCTGGTCCCCGGCAAATGCCGAAATCACTGGCCAACCGTTGTGCATCAGGCTCACCTGGATGAAAAGGACAGACGGCGTATAGAATGAAAAGTGTGGAAAAGAGACAAACAGTCCTCAAGTTGCTCACAGAAGCAGGAACATATGGCATGGCAGACTTCCAAAACACTCAGTGCAATAATGATGCTTCCATGAGGACTAACAGCATCGTATTTCTGGACTTTTTAGTTGTCATATTTTAAAGAGGAAACGCATGCAAAGATTTCATTTGAAGCTTTGTGCTCTGCACATTATCCACTTGTAGAAAGACAGAGATATGCGCACAAACACTCACACAGTGTCTGATTCAACAAATGTTTCCGTGGGGAATAACATCTTCTTCTTCTTACAGAGAGACGAAGCTGTGAGCGCTGTGTCCCCTCCCTCGCCCAGGTTCAAACCTGACAACGGCTTTCATCGCTTCGCTTCTGAGCTACAGCAGAAAAACAAGCGCTCCCTATATGTTTCCCCCTTACACTTCACTTAAACAAAATCATCGATTCGTTCTACCTCTGGTACCTGCAAACGTCTGTTTATGCAGGAACACACTTTATAAACCCTGTGAGATTACAGACCGTCCTGTGAGAAGTCTCACTGCAACCTGATAAGAGAAGCAACACAATGTTTCTGTTGTACTGCCTTTCTTCAGGTTCTTGTACGAGTCTTGTTTTTTACAACACTAGGGTGGCTGATGTGAGTTTGTTATGTCATGCTCCTATTTTAAAATACAATCATAAGATGTTAAAATGTGCCTAAAACTAATTATTTTCTGCAGGAATCACTGACGTGAAAAATAGATTTTCCAGCATAAAAAATATTTATTAATTAGAATAATAAAAAACGCTGCCGATAGCTCGGTCTCTATCTTACACCAGCAGTATAGATGCAAGACGCTTTCACCAGGCTGTGTGCAGTGAAGCTCCTCACAGGTGAAACTGTCAGCCTGGAGTTTGACTGTTTCAAAGAAAGAGAAAGTGAAGCTGCAGGAAATGTGTTGGGGTTTTTTGGTCACACCAACACAATTTTCTTGCATTCACTGGATTTCCCCCTCTATCCCAAAATGAAATTCAACTTAAAAGTTAGCTTTTTTGTCCTTTTCTGATCTGATGGAGACCCAGAGTACACTCCAGAGGCAGATGTGCAGGCTAGTTAATAATCTAGGAATCTACTGGAGGCTGGAAATGTCAAAGAATAACCTTGGAAGGGCAATCAGCCATCGATATCTTATTTTTCTCCAAGTGAAAACTTTATGGTCACACCTAATACACACATTAGTAAATGTAAGTAAATGTAACAGAGTATATTGTATCTGAAACTGGTGGACAACTTCTTGGATGGCTAGATGGATTAAAAAATGGACTGGGCACTTTTAATATTCTTCTACCACTCGTTCCTTTAAAACTCCCAACATATATTGTCATCTGCCTCCTGGTGCACAGAAACAACACGCTGGCTGTTTGTTTCTGTGCAGGTCACTCTGGTGTAGTAGTGTTTTCATTTTCAACAAGCTGACTGCAGTTTGAAAGATTTTGATTCCTTAAACAAACGTCATACACGCCACGTTACCTGTCTACATGATCTTTACAGTATGGACATCAGGAAGAAAAACTCAAATTTACAGCTGAGAGCTAAACATGTCAAAATATTTCTGTTTGCTCTCGAGGTAAAAAACTGTAAAACCGTCACCAACTGATGGAACACAGTCATAAACATCCCATAATTATACACTTATCCAAGTCATTCTGCCTGATGGTCAGGAAAGTGTGTGTGTGTGTGTGTGTGTGTGTGTGTGTGTGTGTGTGTGTGTGTGT